CACCAAATGAAAAGTTAACATGTTTGCTTAAGTCCTAGCTGCCCCAGATTACATGTGTGACCTTGTATAAGTGGCCTTACATTTTGGCCTCATTTCCTTTAGATGTAAAATAAGAATGATGGATGACGTTTGTTGAGGCCTTGTCATATGCCAAGTATTGTGCTAAGCACTTTAAAAATAGGTTAATAATAATTACCTGTACTTCACAGGGATTTTGTGAGGACCAAATGAGAAAACAGTATGAATGGTCTGGTGCATATTCAGAGCTAATTAACTGTTGAGACCAATTTGTTATCATTTTTAAACTAAATTGAACATAATACTTACATCAGAATTACTACCACCATCTCTCAAATGCTCCCCAGGCTTGCTAATCCCCCAAAAGTGGAGAGGGAAAATAACAACAGTTTCCTTGTTTCTTTAAGTGATACTATAGGTAAAGTGAGATCGTCTACATGTTTGGAATACATGCCCTGAAATAAAAATTATGGTGGCAAATGTGCATATTTATAGAGGTAGAAATTTCATTTTTATTCCACTTTATGAATGAGCTGGTCACGCCTGCCCAAATTTGAAAACAAATCACGTACCAGGTAAAAGTAACCAAAATGGCATAAGGAGATCTATTTCAAGGCCACCATTAACCTATAAGAGTTCAGGATGTCAGCCTCTTCCCCTGGAAGGGCAAGAACTACACCCCTGGATGGGTGGAGCATGAGCTGGATTTTGACCACCCCCAACAGCCCTTGGCTGAACAACTTTATGTAGAACATGCCTGAACAATTATACAAGACAGTCCTGTTGATCATAAATGAATATGGAATGAAGAAGGGCAAGTCAAGTGTGTGACGACTCCATGTGTACTGGGCTCCCCACATTATTCCATTTGCTCTATGCAACAAGCATACACAAAACAGGACATACAAAGCTGGCAGTGGTGTCACCATTCTACATTAAGACTAAGGCTCAGAGAGTCCCTATAGCTCATTCTTTTAACGCCCGACCAACAATTGAACTTTCATCTGTTCAATCCCACAATCCTACTCTTTCCTTAGATCCCTTTGCCGTCTTAAATTTCTGTTACATAATCACTAAAAGTAAACAGTTAAACTATTATAAGAGACATGCCTTGTGTTCCAACCTTGAAGGGAATTTTGAATTCTTATTATGTTAGCAGGAAAGGCAGAACTATGTACCATCAGTCCTCTGAAATAATGACCAACAACCCTTTAATTTCTCAGCCTTTGAGCCTTGACACTTTTCTCAGGCACAGCAATTAATAGCTAAAATGTGACAATGTCTTCACCTATACCTGAATCTATTCCAAAGGTCATGTGATTTTAGACCATAGAAAATGTATGTTCTCTATGACAATTTAGGTGCCTCCAGGACACCGTACCCACTCCTGGGTTAATAATAAGGCAGTGGAATCGATCAAATGAAACCAGTAGTTTATTAGTCATTTTCAACAGGCATTTATGGAGAATCCCTACATTACATGGCACTGGAAATATAAAGATAAAAAGTACCTACTCTCCTTCTCCTGGAAAGACCCAGTGTGAGGTTAAGTAAACACGTCACTTGAAGGTAACTGTCACAAAGTAGCATGGGATTCTGCAGGATGAATTGATTTTTAAAAGCCCTTACAGCAAATCACTTATATGTGCATGTGTTTTAGCATTTGTGGCGGACTTCCCTTCACAGCCCATCCCTAAATAAGAAATTTTAAATAATTCAATGTCTCTTTCAAGTTGGAGAAAGAAGTCATTTTAAATTACTGGACATGTTTGGGTTAAATAAAAGGAAGCTCCATTAATTGCTAAATACTGAAACAGATTCTTAAAACACTTGGGTAAGAAGAAAAAAACAATCTTTGCCAGCAATTTCTCAGAAAAAAAATAATTACTATACTTTGAAGGTTTCCAGGAATTCTTGGCTCTAAACATGCACTCACCTGCTCACCTAGCCATAGGATTATACACAATTTCCCAGACCTTTTATACTCCAAGTCTTTGGAATAATTTTCTTTGAAAGGAAAGCTAGTAGTGCCTGCTCAGGAGGACTGTTATCTGAAATTTTCTTCCACCCAACGAAACTTGAAGTGAGGCCACTCACATTCCCCTATGCTGACTCGGTGGGGTTACCTTGCCATTCTGCTCACTGCGTTATTCAGAGTCTCTCCATGATCCCTGGCCTACAAGATAGCTGCATCTCAGGCTGAGACAGTAGTAGATCTAATGTGGGGACAACTGTGAGGTGCCCTGGAGAACATGGAACTGTTGGAGCAGGCAGATAGCTAGAGATGAGCAGAGAAAGGTGGGGCACAGGCCAAACGGCAGGAAACCATACATCTTGTGAGCAACAGGGGTCCTTAGGCGGACAGAGGAAAGCAGGGACCTCTGGACAGGTAGGAAATCACTTATCACATTTCAGGATGATAAGTGTCCTGGAGGCAGGCGAAGAGAGGTGGGAAAGGCAGGAATCTCCAGTGTCCGAATGCAATCTTTTGCTCATTATGCCCTCATTACAATAAAATTAGCCTTGCAGATTAAAAGTATCCATCATGCAACAACGCCACGGCACTTCCAATCCAGACTCAATGAGGACAAAAATCCTTCCTCCCTTTGAGAAGGTGGAGTTGGGATGAAAATCAGGGAATACGACCCCAAACCCTTCCCTCCCCAGTGAATATTCCTCCCATTCATTTTTACACCCTATGTAACCAACTTGTCAAAGAACCTCAGGGCAGCTGCTCACCTGAGCCTGCCCGCTCTCCCCTTGAGCACGTACTGTCCACCCCTTCACAAACCTTCACTTTACTTTCTTGACCTCCATGTCTCGTCTCTGAATTCTTTCTGCCACAAGCCAAGAACCTAATCACCAGCAACAGCACTAGGTTATAAGATTGTCCGCCAAGAGTTTAAAAGGCAATCAACAGGTAATGCAGTCATGGCAGGGGACGAATGAGGAAGGAAGGAAACTAAAACTGTCGATGTATGTAAAATAGGAACATGTCCACTAAACAGTAGACGCCCAGGCATCATCCAGGCAGTGGGAAGTCCAAACAGCTACAGTCCAATGGATTAAAAAAAAACAAAAACAAAAACGAAAAACTAAACACAAACGGCTAATTACATTTTGATGAAAAATGTTTAATCTCTCTAGTAATCCAATATATGAGATAAAAATGAAGATGCTATTTTAGGCTTATATTTTATTGGTGATGTTCAATGTTACCAAGGGTTCTAGAGTTACACTTTCTGATGGAAGCGTATGGCGCTTTTTTGGGAAGCAATTTGGCCACAGGAAGGGAGAACATTTAAAATAGCCCTATTTTCTAAGGAAAAATACTGCAATATTCATATCTTTTATATGATATACGGAAAGAAACCCTTCTACAACAGTTATGTTTAGGTTTAGCTGCATATAATATACATGCCCAATAATAATGGCAAACAACATAAATTTGACCTGCAAAGAAGCCTCCAAAATGTAGCTCTTTAGCTGAATGCTGCCACCCAAAATAAAACTGAGATTCTGTTATTGTGGAGGAAACCAAGAATGGGTGTTTGTAGATAACTAGCAATTTTTGCTCCATTATCCTAGAAAGCAAACTTTAACTTAAAAATAATCTTCAAAAAGGCATTCATTTTAAGGGAAAGTCCAAAATTCCAAGAATAAGGAAATATGTACAAGTTACAAATTGATTCAATGATTCCATATACAAGGAATGTTATCTATCAAAGTTTGGAATTGATAGTCGAACATGCTTATTTCATGTTAATTTCAAAAAAAAGCAAAATGCATTCTTGTATAAAGTTTTTAGACTCAAGTATGCAAAAAACACCCATAGAAGATTTTTTGATACTTTTATTCATTGTCCATATTTTTCATAATGACAGAATTTGAAAGGCATGCTAAGAAAATTATAGACATTAGTTACTAAAACATTATAATTGAAGACAAATTCCCAGATTTGAGAAACAGGATCTCAACTTGGAGATTCTGCGTGCTGTTCCAAACCAAATTAACATAAAGGACTAAGACAAAGCCTAGTAAAGTTTTCAAATTTAAAGAAAAAAAATCCTACACATAATAAATTAGGAAAAACAGGTCACCTTCAAATGAGACAGACTCAGGTTGGCCACAGACTTTGTCCTCGGCAAAACAAAATGCCAAAAAGTTATGAGGTTTCAGCATTACCGTCTAGCTGTCATCATCATCATAACGTTAACTGAGCAGCTAGTTAAACTCTAAGGACTTTTATTTGCTTACCCAACACCTTGTGAGGTAGGTCTTATTCTGGTTCTATTTTACAAGGAACATGAGGTAAGGAAGGCTAAGTGAATTACTCCTTGTCTCACAGATTGTCCATAACGGAGCTGAAATTCAAACCCAGGCAGTGTGATTCCCCCAAGGTCGTATCTTTTCTGCTTACATCTAGAAAGCTTGGAAGAGAAAAATAATTGTGATGCAAAGACGTTATCACTGGTACCCACCAGAGTTTAGAAAATGTGCCTCTGGGGTGGGGTCCATAGCTCAGTGGTAGGACTCATGCTTGGCATGCACCAGGTCCTGGGTTCAATCCCCAGTGCCTCCATTAAGAGGGGAAATAATTTTTTTTAAGAACCAAAAAGTTTTTCAAAAAAAGAGAAAATATACCTCTCATCCTTGTATTTCAATAACTTCTCGAAATAGTGTTTCAAATTACCAAGATATTAATCACAATGGATTAAATATCAGAAAATTCAAGAAGAAACAGACTGGCAGTAGTCACCAAACCACCTAAAATCTTAGAACCAAGGGTTTAAAAGAGATAACTTCTAATGGGACAGGATGGATGCTGAGAAGTCTAAATAATAGATTTAACTTGGGTACAAAATACTAAAAACCAGCACAATTTTTGATGACACCCTTTCTGAGGGTGTCCTCTCTGGCCAAAGCCATCTCTTCCTGGTTTACACCCTACTTCTCAGTCCCACTTTATTTCTGTCTTTCAGCTGAAACTAAGATCTGCTTCAAATACTATCATGGAGTGAGCGGAGCCTTGCGAGCTACCACCCCGAGTGTCACTGTCAAAAACTCGGCGGCTCCTGTAAGTCCTGTGTCTTCCTTGTTGGTCTGAACTAACACGCTGTTACATCCCCAGTGTGTTCTTATGTTTCAGTGTGTGTGTGTTGGGGATGGGGGGGTGTGTGCGCATAAGTGGAGATGTATTGATAGACTGTGAACAGGTAGATGAACAGACGGATGGAAACACACCTGAAAATCCTGCGAGGAAAGCGATCCAAAGGTAAACGTATTCGAATGCATACAAACCACTTTTTATTAGAGACACTTCCAGCTTCAGTAGACAGCTACATGTTTCTAATAGACTCATGCGCAACAGCAGTGATAAAGAACCTTTCTTGGGAACACTTCTTTTTTTTAATTCCTTGGTTTTAAATATTTGTATTTTCATATGTTTTAATTTGTTTAGGCTTATAAATAAATTTCTGCAATAGAATTCATAGTCTTGGATTAAACGATAGGCCTAGAAGAGACTAGAATGTCTGGTCCTCTTTTTCTGTACATCAATGGGGAAAAGAGCTTAAGCAATGGGCCTGGGGTCACACGGTTAGCTAACTGCGGGTCGGGGGTTGAAATCACACCTTTGGTCCCCTACTGTGTGGCTTCGCTCAGGACTATGATAACAGACGCTACCTTTCCCCAAATTACAGTCTCATTTTTATTTCTATGGTGCTTTTTACCTTGGTTCTCAATACATCTGACTAGGCCAGCTGAAATCCCCTTACAAATGGCATTCTTTTTCCTTTCACATGATGGAGGAGGCTGAACAGAAACCTCTGTGGACTTTGCCATGCTAGTGTGAGTAAAAAAGATTTGGGATTGTTCCTATGTAAAAAATAAAAGTTAAGAGAGAGAGAAATGAAAATGAAATAAGAACGATACAGAAGGAAGATGCCATTTGCTGTTTCACAAGTCAGTCCTTCCGCCCGCTGATGGTGAAGGTGTTGAGTCCTTGATGGGAGCGGTAAGATGAGCAGGTTTGAGGGCTGGGAGCCCACCTGCTTCCCTCCTGAGACGTGGAGGAGAACTGGACACTGGGCTGAGGCAGGAGGGTGAGGGTGGACAGGGCTCCCCAAGAGGGGACACACAGCAGGAGGGGCAGGAGGAAGAGAGGGAGGGACCATCCGCACTTTTTCCCAGCGCTACCATTCTTCCTACACTAGCCCTGCAGACCGGATCGTGATGCTTGTCATTTCACTGGGTGGGTCACTTTCCCACACTAAGATGGGAATCTACGTGTGGGTATCCCCGGAATGCCAACCCCCCTCCTCAGGTCCATCTGTGAGGGCCCTCCTCCAGACAGGGCACCTGGTAAAGCCAAAGAGACACTGAGACATGTTGCCAATGGCTAAGGCAGGAGGGGCAGCTAAGTGGAGGCAGTGACACCTGGGCTGAACGGAGCCAGAGGTGAGGTGGACAAAGCAGGACGGCCTTGAACACATCACAGAGAAGGAAGAGGCTGGACTTGGGGTCCAGCTGATTCAGGAAGAGCCCCCCAGAGGCAGGCGTGCCTGCCTTGTGCACAGCACAGCAGGTCATGTGATGAGGCAGCTTCTTGCCAGACACACAAATCCCTCAGGAAGGACGGGCCCTGCCCAGGGATGGGACTGGCCTGTCGGCTCCAGGCTGGAGCGGGAGGAAAGAGCTCCCCACCTTCCTCTGCTCAGGAGCACGGCTGAGAGCATGGCCAGCCCTAAAATGCAGCAAATTCTTATCTTCAGAAAAGTGCTTTTTGAAGAAGCTCTCTGGGGCATTTGGCTTCTCTGAACTCAACCCACTGAGAACTCCAGATGTAACATGCTTCTCAGACTAATGTGCAATGTGATGGACATCATCAGAGGTGCAGAACATAATACCAGATGCCAGGTACCCAGAAAAAGCTGCCGGGCATCGCACTGCAGGCAGGCTCTCAGAAGCAGGGTCAACCATCACCCAGCTTAGGTTTTCCAGAGACAAGGGCATAGGTCGGAGACGAGGAAACATCACATGTTGGACAGGCAGCTTCAGGAGACAGCCTGATGTTGTGTCTGCCCTGGCCCTGTCCTGTTACTCAGCGTGTGCTACCCTGGGTCCTAATTCCAAGCCCAGACATCTGGAAACACTCTGACATGTTGCTGTTGTCCTGTTAACATCCCCGTAATGAGTTTCGGACAGAAATCGGTTGCGTTGATGCTTTAGTGTACGTTCTGCAGACAACTTTTATTTCTCTTCTTAAAACCCACACATGTGAGAACCCGACCGTGAGGCCCATGTGATGCCAGGGGCAGAAAGAGAGTAAAACTGCCCACCGCCTCCTTGGAGATGAGTCCTGCAGCAGAAGGGAGCGTGTGTTTTCCTGCAAGACGGTGTTTTTAACCCACAGTTGGGTTTTATAACAGTTAAACTATCAGTGGCCCTAATTGGTGTCCTTTTCAAAGGAGATTTACTTGCATTATTCCAGGTGATTCACAGCACAGCTGTGACACGGGCAGAAAGCATCCTTTTGGTAAAGTGACCATTGACCATCTGGCGGTGGAGCTGAAGCCAACCTACTTTATGCTTCTTGCAACTCAGTTCAGTTCCTGGCATAATCTAGCAAACTTCTGGATTGAATAAGGCTTTGCGTTTGGTCTGGGGAATCCAGCACGCTGTTTCCAAGGGAAAATGCCATTCACGGTTTCCAAAATCAACTTGTCAGTAAACTCTGAGATGTCATTTTTAAATTGAGGATTGTGGGAGCTACACTCATCTCTTACGAAGCGCTGTCCACGGCCATTTAATCATGTCCCATGAGTCTTTGAGTTACTTTGGGACAAGAGGCTAAAACCACAATTCTTTGAAAAGGAGGGGAAAGATGTCAAAGGCTCCTTTAGCAGAATGAGGATTTTAACACTCTGAGCATAGCAGGTGGTCAGTATTTGCCAGTTTCTTCTCTCATTTCCCCTTACCCTTAGTCTTTGTCCTACAGACATCTGTGGATGTCCCTGGTATAAAAAGCAGTGGTCACCTGTCCTTGGCTTTCTGAGATGCTCACTTATTGGTCTTAATTGTGTATCAGAAACTGTGATGGGCTAGGGTCATAGGTACCCTGTCACTGGGAACGCAGGTACTCTGTTATAAATGATAATGCTGTCTGGTATTATTATAAACATGTTGCTATCTGAAATGCTCGGTACCGGAGCACGGAAACCCATCGTGCTGCATACGGGGAAAGCTGTGAGGAGGTGTCTGCAGCCGCTGGGAAGGCTTTCAGAGGGGGCCATGCATGCTGAGTCAGGCAGCGTGAACGAACAGCCCGCTGCCAGGTCTGGGAGGGATGTGAGTGCTGGCTGGCCTCTGCACGTCCGGGACAGGGGGGTGTGAAATGCCACAGACCTGGTGGGGAAGAGACCTAACTGTGTTTGGTGTAAAGGACATTTGACTTAAGTGAGCATTTTCCAACTATCACCCTGCACTTTGTATTTTTCATAGTTTTTGTAGCTTACCTAGAGCACCCAGCGTATGTTTTATGCCACCCTTTTATTTTCAAAAGTAAGCCCTTCCTCCCAATATTTCTGTCCGTGCTGTCTTCCCCTGGTGCTTTACAATCTCTGAATAAGCCTCACGAGTGCTTTTTCCTCTCTCCATTTGTGCATCAAAGGGCAGAATTCTATGCACACCTACCATTTGCCAAAGGACAGGGCAGGTAAACCTCCCTAGCTCGCCACACCATCCGCTGTGAGCCTCCAGGCCTCCCTCTTCAGGTCTTTGTCTCCACAGGAGGTTTTCACACCCTCCTTCCCCTCTGCAGGATGGAACAGGCATCCTGTAACCAGTGGGCATCTCCTGGGCAGGGTGAGGGCACCCCTTCTGCCTGCTGGGCTCCTCAACAGTGCAGAGACTCAAGACACATCCGTAGCTGTTCTCAGTATGTGTTCAAAGTCCTGAACCTTGTTTTCAAGACTTACCCCGCGGAGCGACCACTTGACCTTGCAGTGGTCGCCACGTTTCCCTCGTGCCCAGCAGCACTGAGGCCTGGGGACTGGAGTCCCTGGACACAAAAAATAAGTGGCCACTGGAGGTAGGAGGCTCGGGAGGCAGGGCCCAAGGAGGAGAGGCTTCCAGAGTGAGGGGCAGGCAGAGGACATTAAGTTCCTGCCTCCTTTGGGGCCTAGTGTAGAGGGGTCCCCAGATTGAGAGGCTGGACCATATGTAGTCCAAGCCTGTATTTCTTATTCCATCATCATCGACATTAAAAATTGTGGAAATTTCTTTTAGGATGCTGTTCATCTGGATCATTCTTATCCTTACTTCACACTGTAATGGTCTGTCTGTCTATCTATCTATCTATCCATCTATTTATCTATCTATCTTTATCTATCTATCTGTCTATCTATCTGTCTATCTATGTATTATTTGCATAATCTGTACTTCTAGCTTTTTCAGTGAGAAATTGGAAGTGAACATTTCAAGTCCTTCTTATTTCACCACTTTAACCCAGCGTCTCTGAAACCAAGCTTCTGATAATAATTGAACAGCCTACAGTTCAAAGTAAATTTCTTTGTCGAAACTTGAAATATCTTTCCATAAGTTCACGTTCAAAGACTTATTCCCATTGTCAGACTTTCTAAGCAAAGGTAGAGTTGACATTCTCAAAAAACAAAACAAAACAAAACAAAACAAAACAAAACAAAACAAAACAAAACAACTCGATAGGACATTTTCCTTGGGGATGAATTCATGAATTCATCAGGTCAACACATTCATCCACAAATAGTCTGGGTCTCCTGCAATAGATAAATAGGTGATTAATAATCTCCAAACTCTTAGGTCGTTAAGGTTGGCTGTAGTAATACTTGTCTTAAGAATTTTAAAAGCAGATCATTCCCCTCAAATATTTTAAATCATAATAAAGCCACTAGGGAACAGCTACTTTAAAGTTATGAAACCAGCTGGAAAATACTCCAACCAAATTAGTTGCAAAATTAATTCACAGGTAACTGACTGATATGACTAGCCATCTGGAATTGTTAGACATAAGCCAATGAATTTGCAAGACACCTTGGT